AGAGAGAGAGAGAGAGAGAGAGAGAGAGAGAGATTACCCTGCGTTTCTCTTACTTGAATTCTTAGTGGAACCGCAAGCTTTGTTTTTTCTTTTACGTTTTGTAGATTCGAGACGTGTAATTTCCAACACGAAAACCCTTTTCACCCTTGCGTCTCCTTTTTTTCTATCATTTTTTCCCTCCTTTTTGCTTCCTCTTTCTCTCAATAATGGTCAAATCAGACTCAGGGTTGTTCAAGCGAGGACCAATTTCCTTGCCTGAATGTAATTTCTTTCCTGTAATATCTGTAGCACATATATTTTTTTCGGTATTCATATCCTGTCCGTGATGTTGAAAACTAAACTCTCTGAGCCGCTCTCCTCAGTTTGGAGTTTGTAAAAATAATCTTTCCCGGACTCGTATGAGAAACAACATCCATTTTGGCGGTGGAATGCCATTTATTTTCACTGGTTTTGAATGAGGCAAGACAAATATGTAAACAACTCTTGTACCTGACTGAACTCTTCATACCCACCCCACCCCACCTCCCACCCGCGCAAGAAACGCTTTGCTTTCCCCTGCAACCACATTACGAGTAAATGTCTGGTCATGTGTTCTGTAATCAAACACAGGCGCCATGCACTCTTGCGCACACACATACAAAATCATAATATTCTGTATAACCGCACTATGAACTCTGGCCTTCTGCCCGCGACAGGGAAACGCATAACTGCTGCACCACAGAAGCCGGTTGGTATGGGTTTTACGCCTCTCTAAACAATATATCATGTCCATTTAAGATCTTCCAATCTAACGTCCATCTGCGATAGCACCAAGCCTAATCGTTTCCAAAATGACATTCTCTGAGTTTGGCAAGACGTTTACATTTCACAAAACTATCAGACGAAGATGTTTCTTCCAGATTAGCAGCCAGCCTGAGAGGTAAAGAAAGAAAGAAAAGAAAGAAAGTAAGAAAGAAAAAGAGAAAGAGAGAAAAAAAAGCTAATGACAGAAAGCGCCCCTGGAACTCAATATTTCCCTATCAATGAGCCATGCCATGCTTTTAATCAAATCAGTGGAGACTCAATTATCTTTTTAAAAAAAGTTGGACCTCATTTTTGAACCCCCACCCCCGCCCTCCCTTAATCTCATAGTCTCTCTACATGCACAACATGCGCTCAGAACAATTAATTCATAGGGTCATGGTGTAGCTTTCTTTGCGCGTTCACTTCTTAGGAAGACACATGCACAGCGGCAGAGGGTTTGAGTTCAATATATTAGAGACTTTGCCATTCCCGACGACTTTGATTCAGGAGAAGCGCTCACTGTATCGCAGTGTGAGTACATATCTATGGACATGTGTGCAATGCTGCAGCGTTAAGGAGTCTGATCTGGAGTTTTATGTTAAAGGAAAGTATAACAAGTTTTGTGAAAGGTCCAGGACCCCACCCTCCCAAACAAACAAACGAACACCTCCCAAACAAACAAACAAACAAACAAAGAAAGAAAGAAAGAAAGAAAGAAAGAAAGAAAGAAAGAAAGAAAGAAAGAAAGAAAGAAAGAAACAACCCCCCACCAAAACAATGAAACATCCCCCAGAACAAAAAACAAAATCCCAAACCCCCAAAACAAATACTACACCCCCCCCCACCACACACACGTATGCCTCTCACCAGCCAGGCATTTAGACTATTTTCAAAACTCGTTCCCTGCCTTATTTAGTAAGATATTGATACCAGACTATTGCAAATATGTGCACCGTGTTTTAAACTATCGGGTGGACCTGATAACTCAATTTCATCCAAAACTTGGATATACCATCTTTTAAAATACAACTCCAGTGATGTAGTATATGTTTTACGCCCCTCTAAACAGTTGAAACCGCTCTAACAGCTACCTGTAGGATACAATCACCTGTACAAACGGTCACTTCCCTTTTGCCACTTTTCGTTTATGTTACAATAATATAATGATACTGTGTAAGACGTTTACCTGTCTAAGACAGCGACTCTTCTCCTAGATAATGGCTGACCATGTTAGACAATTTAAGATCCATTTTTATTGTCCAGATTCTGGCACATTGGTTTGTAGTTTCACCAGTTACGCACGTACACGCACACAC